CCTTTGCAAATTTCATTCAAGTCAGACAAAAAACAACAAAGTTATAGATATTTCATTGATTCCCCATTATACCCTATGGCCAGATCTCCGAAGCAGCTCTGAAGCTTTTCCAAAGCACTTCAGAAGCTCTGAACCACTCTGGAAAGCCTAACTAAGCCAGAGCTTCGTTCCAGACATGCTGCTTTGGACACCAAAGCATCCGAAGCTTCTCTGGATCCGAAGCCCCTAGTACTTAAGTGTCTATATACAAATGCTAGGAGTATGGGAAATAAGCAGGAGAAATTGGCACTCCTGCTAGCAAATAGGGAATATGCTCTCATCGGAATAATGGAGACCTGGTGGGATACCATGCATGACGGGGCTGTATGCATAGAGGGCTACAAGCTGCACAGAAGGGAAGAGGTAGGGAAGAAGGGAGGAGACATATGTAAAGGAGTGGTATGCCTCCTCAGAGACCCAAATTGGTTTGAGAGAAGGATGACTTGAGACCCTTTGAGTCAAGATATGGGGGGATGAGGAGAAAGGGACTTGATGGTAGGGGTCTACTATACATCGCCACACCAGGAGGAGCTGGATATGGGATTTTCCAGAGAACTGATGGAGGCTGCATGTTCAAAGGACATGGTTGTCATGGGTGACCTCAATTACCCTGACATCTGTTGGGAGGAGCACTCAGCCAGATCTAACCGGTCACATAGGTTTTTGATTTGTGTGGAAGAACTTTATTTAGTACAAGAGTTGAATGGGCAGACCAGGGAGAAGGCTTTGTTTGATCTGGTTCTAGCCAAAGGGGATGACCTGGCTGGAGATCTGAGGATTGAAAGTAATCTGGGAGATAGTGACCATGAAATGATAGAATTCACTATCCATCGTAGGGCAAGGAAGTCAGCCAGTAGGGGAGAGGTTCTTGACTTCAGGAAGGCTGACTTCAATGAGCTTAGGAAAATAGTGGGAGAGACCCTATGGGAAGAGGGACAGGAGGGGAAGGGAATTCAGGAAGGGCAGTTGTTCCTCAAAAGAGCAATTTTCAGGGCACAGAAAAGGTCCATTCCTATATGCAGGAAAGGTGGTAAAGGGGCCAGGAAGCCCTCTTGGCTTACCAGAGGAGTCAAGGAGCACTTAAAAAAGAAACAGGAGGCTTATGGACAGTGGAAACCAGGGGTACTCACCAAGAAGGAATACACAACTATAGCCCATATTTGTAGGGAGAGGATAAGGAAGGCAAGGGTGGTGACTGAGATCAGGCTGGTGACCAAAATCAAGGATAGTGATAAGTCCTTCTTTAGATATATAGGGAGCAGGAGGAAGACCAAGGAAAATGTGGGACCCTTGAAGAATGGGACAGGACAGCTGATAACAGACATTCAGGAGAGAGCTGAACACTTTAATGTAGGGGTTCCCAGTCTTTTTAGGCTGAGGACCGGTAAACTGCAGACCAGAAGTGACTGTGGAATGGAAAAAGCCACGGACCAGCTGTGAGCGGCATACTGTGGGCAGGTAGCCAATAGGGCTGTGTGAAATGGCACTGTTCCATTTCGCCGTGAGTTTCGAGGTTTGAACCTAACAGCGTTTCGTATCGAATTACATTTCAATTTGAAACAGCTGTTCCATTTTGCTTCATCAAAACAGTAAGGCTGTTTCGACTGTTTTGATGTTTTGCTAGATCGGCAGGGATAGGAAGTCAGCCCAGCTGGGTCCACTCCCCATCCCCCACGCTAGATCATGCCAGGCTGACTTCCCATCCCCGGCGCGACTCAAAATGAGTCAAAACAGTGTCAAAATGAAATGGCTGGCAAAATTTCATACAGCCTTAGTAGCCAATCCTTTATTATACTCAGTATAAACATAGCAAGTATAAAAAAGGGTTGGCTGCTAGTCTGCAGTATGCCAGTCACTTCTAATCCACATTTTGCTAGTCCGTGGTTACTTCCAGTCTGGCAGCCAGCCCTCCTGCAGACCAGCAGCCAACCCTTCATGGCCCAGGGACTGGGAACTCCTGCTTTAATGAATACTTTGTGTCGGTGTTCCTGCATACAAATGGTGGTTGCCTGCCTGGTTGTATACTGGACGGATGCAGGAGGAGGTGGTGGGTGGAGGGGCGATTGCCAACCAATGATCAGTGTTGAATTGGTGTGGGAGCACTTAGAGCAGCTGAGGGTCTTCATGTCAGCAGGACTGGATGGACTACACCCAAAAGAGAAGGAAATGACTGGAGTCATTGCGGGACCATTGGTAAAGGTATTTGAAGACTCATGGTGCTTGGAAGAAGTCCTGGAACACTAGAAAAGGGCCAGTGTGGTGCCAAGCTTTAAGAAGGGGAGAAGGGAAGATCCAGGAAACCATAGGCTAGCCAGTTTGACCTCAATACTGGGTAACATTTTGGAAAAAAATTATCAAGAAGTCCATTTGTGAGAGACTGGCAGAAGGCTTGATGCTGAAGGATAGCTAACATGGCTTTGTTGTGGGCAGATCATATCTGAGCAAACTCATCTCCTTCTATGATCAAGTAATGGACTGCTTAGATGTGGCAGATGTAGTTGATGTCATATTCTTAGATTTTAAGAAGTTCTTTGATATGGTCTCCCATGGTGCTCTTATAAAAGAACTGGAGGATTGTGGGCTGGCAGAGTTCACAGTCAGGTGGGTTGGGAACTGGCTAAGAGGTCAAACCCAGAGAGTATTAGGTGGGTCTGTATCGTCTTGGAGGGGGGTGGCCAGTGGTGTCCTGCAGGGCTCGGTTCTTGGCCCCATGCTATTCAACATCTTTATCAACGATTTAGATGAGGATGTGGAAAGCACGCTGGCCAAGCTGCGGATGATACTAAGTTGTGGGGAAAAGCAGTCATGATAGGGGATAAGATGCAGACCCAAGCAGACCTGGACAAGCTGAAAAGATGTGTGGAGCAGAACCAGATGCAGTTCAATAAGCATAAAAACAGAGTGCTTCATCTGGGGAGAAGTAACCAGTGACGTGAATACAGGTTAGGAGGAGATCACAGAATCATAGAAAGTTAGGGTTGGCAGGGTCCTCAGGAGGCCATCTAGTTCAACCCCACGCTCAAAGCAGGACCATCCCAGCCAAAGCCTTGTTTAGCCAGGTTTTGAAAATCTCCAAGGATGGAGCTGCCTCCACCTCTCTGGGTAACCTGTTCCAGTGTTTTGCTACCCTCATAGTGAGAAAATTCTTCCTAATGTCTAACCTAAGCTTCCCTTGCTGCAACTTGAGACCATTGCTCCTTGTTCTGTCATCTGCCACCACCAAAAACAGTCTAGCTCCATCCTCTTTCAAACCCCACTACAGGCTGCTATTAAATCCCCTGTTAGCCTTCTTTTCTCTAGGCCGAGTTCCCTCAGTCTTTCCTCATATGTCATGTCCCCTAACCCCCTCACCATTTTTGTTACCCTCTGCTGGATTCTTTCCAATTTACCCACATCCTTTCTGTAGTGGGGAGGCCCAAAACTGAACACAGTACTCCAGATGTGGCCTCACCAGTGCTGAATAGAGGGGCCTAATCACTTTCCTTGACTTACTGGCAATGCACCTACCAATGCAGCCCAGTATGCCATTAGCCTTCTCAGCAATAAAGGCACACTGCTGGCTCATATTCAGCTTATTGTCCCCCAGGTCCTTTTCTGCAGAGCTGCTGCCCAGCCAGTCTCCCCCCAGCCTGTACCGGTGCAGAAAGCCCCCTTTGTACATTTCCTTTCTGGACATTGATATAACAGAAACTCCTTCTTGCCTGTACCTCACTGCCTCATTTTGTGCATTTCTTTGTTCTTCTAAGTCAGGGGTAGGCAACATTTTTTGGCTGGAGTGCTGAAATAACCACAACGTCTACCTTGTAAGGTGCCAGAGTGCCGGCACACCACAAAAACAAAACTGGGGTGGAGGGGGTACATGGCAGGAGACACTGCATATTTAATACAATTAATAATCATTAATGTTGTTGTGTGTGTGTTTTTTTGTTTTTTTTTTTACAGTAAATACCAGGCTTTCTAAATATTCAAAACCTGATGACAATAAATAAAACTTCATGAACTTACTTGTGAATTATTTTTCCTAAGCATGTTGTTATGATGGGGAAGAGAGGAGCAGGGAGCAGCAGGCACCAGGGGAGTCACTGTGGGTAGGCTGGCCTGGCCAGGCCCTTGGGAAGGCTGCGGCTGGAGGAGAGCTGGCATCAGGTGGGGAATGGGGGCTGCCCCAGGGCTCCACAGACTTGAGCCACAGCGGGGGGCCCAGCAGCGCTGGAGGTGGGGCCTAGTCAGCCCACGCACCTCTGTGGGGATGGGGTGCAGCCACCCAGCCCACAAAGGGATGCTGCCTGGCTGGGGCAGGATGCGGGGCTCAGGGAACTCCCTGCTTGGTCTTTGTGTCAGCCCCGTCCATTTCAAGTGGGAGCTGCAGCTGCAGGCTGTTCCCTGGGCTCTGGGAACAGCCACCAAAGCTGGTGCTGAGGGCCGAGCCTGCTGCGCAGCCGCTCTGTGCAGTGCCTGCCCTATCCCTGGCCCCTTGAGGGGGGCTGCGGGTGGGCAAGGCCAGGACCAGGCAGGCTGAGGCAGCCACGGTGGCTGTTCCCAGGCTCCAGGGGGCTGCCGTGGCTAGGCCTCTGCACCAGGGACTGCTCTGTCCTGTCTGCACTTGTTGGTTACAAATGTCCAACTCAGGATCCTTAAAATTCTGGTTTATTAGGTGGATTGAAACGCTGTAATGAAGTCAAATCATAAACCTTGGGGCTGGTCCCCCCCCCCACATGCAGGCACATATGCACGCACACAGTAGCGAGCTACAAATGTTTGGGCAAGGGGTGGGCACCAGAGTGGGGTATACCTCTCCCACAAGCGCTAGCGTCTGCCGTCGATGGCCAGTCGAGGCTTCTTTCGGCGTGGTGTTATCCTCCAGAAGAGGCTCACCGGCTCGTCCTTCTGGCTGGACAGGTCGGGTGCTGGTCAAGTTGGAGATCAAGAGGGTGCCGCTGAGGGTCACTTTTCACTGCTCGTTATCTGTCCTTCACAGACTTTGGTGACTCCCCAGTTTTCAGGTTTGCCCAATCCAGGGGTCGTTGACCCTCGTGGGACTTCCCCCTTGGTGGCTACTGAGTGGCATCTGTCAGCTCCAGGGGTCGTCCGCAGGCACGTGCAGGTTTGGGAGTCCGTTGATGAATTTTGGTTAATTTACCGCTGTCATGAATAGGGCTCTGGGAGCAGTCGATCTGGAGATATTCAGCCCCAAAAGTTGGTCGCCGGCGTTGATTAACTCAGACCAGGGCTTTCAGGCCTTGAACAGTGACGGTTAGAGAATTCCCGGTTGCTCCATTGTCTCCTGTTGATTTCTTCCCTTGGTTGAGCTGCGGTTTCCGTAGGTGTTAATTGCCGCTTGTTACTGAAGCCTGCTACTGTGTCACGCATTCAGTCACTGATTAACTCGCTCTTTCAGGGGCCCGCCTGATACAGGGAAGCCGGGGTTTGATTCCTGCCCTTGTTAACATTGTTACAGTGTATAACTTACTTCTAAAACTAAAACACCTTCAGTCAAAAGTATAAAATATAAGCTACAAGAGTAATGCCACGGCACACAAATAGATAAAAATGCCAAAATACGAGGGGAGATACAAAATGCACACATACAAACTTTAAAACACAATTCCTTATAGTGAAAGAATGAGGAAGGAAGAAAAGGTAGAAGAGGAGGAACATATCCAAAGAGGGGAAAGCAAATGCAGGCAAGAGGAAAAGGGGGCTTTCTGCTGCACACTGTGCCCAGCATGCAGGGAGGCCAATCCCGGAGAGGGAAGTCCCTTGAGCCCGGCATCCTGCCCCAGTCAGGTAGCATCCCCACGTGCGCAGGGTGGCTGCAGCCCATCCCTTGCGGAGCTGCACAGGCTGAGCCAGGCCCCACCACTGGTGCTGCTGGGCACCCCTGCCTGCCCGCCCACCATGGCTTGAGCCCGCAGAGCCCCAGGGCAGCCCCCACTTCCTGCCCAGCCCTCGCCTTCCTAAGGGCCCTGCTGGGCTGGCTTGCCTGCGACGCCTCCCCCCACGCTGTCCAGACCCTGTCCCAACCATCTGGCCCCAGCACTCAGCACCTCAGTACTGCCCCGGGTGTAACAGGGTGTCTGCCTGTCTGGGCAGCTCCCTCCAGGGGCCAGCCAGGTGGAAGGGTGCAGCCTGGGAGCAAGGGGCAGGGGCAGGGGCGGTAGAGCACAGACAGTGTCCCTGCCTGCTTTTTTCTGGCTCCGCCCCAGTGCCTGCCGCAGCACTGGGACTTCTGGCTGCACAGCCCGAAGCAGCAACTTAAAAAAAACCCCAACCCCGCCGATTTCTTTGTGCGCTTCCCGGAGTGCCGGGAAAAATGTCTCCATGTGCCACTAATGACACGTTTGCCAGGGGTTGCCAACCCCTGTTCTAAGTATTGGCAGAGACCTAGCACACTCATTGCATGGGTGTGGCAAGGCTCAGAGCAAGCCAGAAAACTATAGTTGCTTTCTGTAGGTGAAACCTACATTCTACATCTACATATCAATTAAGCTCAGTGTCACTAAAGAAAACAAAAGAACTAAAATATTCACTTTAGCAAAGCCTGTAATAGACAAGACAAGACAAGGTACATTGAAAACATCTTGGTGAACACATATCCTGGTGAACACAGTCCCCCTTTTATTAAAACCTATTTCCCAAAGCAAACTTCCCATACCTGTCCAAAGTGTATCCTAAATCAGTCTACTGCATATAAA